GTCGTAATAGTTATGCTAAAGCTCTGATACATTTGTTAGTACAAGTTTCCAAGAGAGTGACAACCTTTTTGGAATTTCAGAATTTTGCATGAGTATATCAGATGCTCGTAATTAGAAACAAGTGGCAATCAAAAGGCTCACTTGTGGAACCCCACATAGACTGCATCCGCATTAAGAATTTTTGTAAATAAATAAATTAACGATGAAAAAATCTGTCCTACCAAGTTATTTTTGTTCATGGAAAGTAAAAAATATTATGGTGAAATCACTTACATGGTTCAGCCGCATCAAAATAGCCACTTCAGACTGTACACGGTTGACAAGATTCTAGGAGATTAACAGGAAAAGACCCTTACATCATTAGCCTTGGCGAGAAAGGAAAACGTTTTCTTTTGTACAATTTTCATAGCATATTTCTGGCATGACTCCCTACCGAAAACAAGCCGGACTTCGCCGCAAGCGCCACTGAAAGTCATTTAAAGTTTTAAAATGGACGACTTACCGGCCCAATCTTTTGCAAACAGTGTACTTTGAAGTTACTTCTGGTGGAAACTCAGTTTGGACAGAAGTTAAGTCGGAGAATATAAAGCCTAAAATAATACGGCAATTAAAGCGGAGTTACATTTGAGTGATTTAATCGCCAGAGCTATTTCATTGTTATTGTTTAGTGGTTGCTTCTTGCCTTTACCTACAACAGTAACAAAAGAATTCGGTCATACCGATTTTCGATTCGTTCAAAAATGTACCATTGCTACTCAAATCGTGAATAAAGACCAGCAAACCTTGGGAGGTCGATTCCTTGAGAAATAAACATAAAATGAGTTGCCTACCCTTGTGATCCGGAAATGCAGCTTGCTGAAAGCTGAGAAAGGTGCAGACTTGTCGAACATGTTAGGGGAGAACTTGAAGTCGCAACTATCGTCCCTTCCAAATGTGTAAGAATCTTTGACCAAGTCTGAAGAATATATTTTATTAAGAAATTATTACCAAGGGCGGGTATAGACCCCCTTAGTGGAAGTAAGCGCGCCCATGGTTTTTCTTTAAGTACAGACTCTTCTTCGGGCACCTGGCATTCGGCGATGTCTTGCGTTGGAAGCAAGTCACACATTGCCCAGGCCAGCGAAGAAAACACAACCTAGGCGCCTTAAATTAAGCCTCGTAAAACCACATATAGCGTTCACTTACAAAGCCTGGAAAAATACTCGCGTGCATTCACTTAGTAAGATATTTTTGTAATTTTTCTTTTTTTCCCGTTTACTCAAAAGTATAACACGGAGATTGTTGAGAAGAAGATGGCTCGATCGCTGGGACAATTGTCCCAGCGATCGAGCCATCTTCT